AGTCCCAGTCGAAAACCCAAGCAAACATCATCGCCCAACGTACTCATCTGGGGTCATAAACTTTTGCGACTTAGGCCGGTCCAGTCGCTCGAGCCGAAAGTCAAGTTTCTGATGACAGTCCWTGTGTAGCCAGACACGTCTGCTTGCCACTCTAGGCGGCCGAGCCCGGCGATCCGTTCGAAAGTGAATCATTTGTTTGGGCCTGAGGTGACACAAAGTGTCGAGGGTGCTATGCCAGTAGCATACAGACTTAAGCTACGTATGGAGAAACCTAGAATGTTCCGAATGGCATTATTTGGCCAGCCAAACCTGGCTGGGGTGCAGTAGTTGTGTGCTCATACAGTCCGCTCCCTCTGGAAGTTACGCGCCGATGCCTTCCATCTTCTCGGCCGCGAGTAGGTATTTGCAACGGAGCACGTTGTGAAATTCATGTGACGACCGTTGATCTAACAGAAGAATTCACAATCAATTTAAACCACAATCCTGACGTAGTCCCCATTTAATTGATCTCAACGTCGAAAGCACGATCAGCTTTTTCCATCTGCCCACTTTGTGCAATGGGCGAAGACCCCTTCGGCTTTCGCGCCGTCCAAACATATCTGAGGCACAATCAGTATTGCGGTTCGTTTTGGTAGGCTAGCCGACACAAGAGCTTACATGTTGCAAGATGCGTGATTCTGTAGAACACAGATCTCTTCTCTAGCCCTGGCACAGAGCTCACAAACTTCTTCGTACGTCAGTCCCTGCGTCTGTATCAGCGGCATCATGCTCAGCGTTTCAAGACTGCGGCTCAGGGCAAGGTTGAACCAGCGAGCGACGTCCTTTTCATGCAAATTACTAGTCCAAGGACAGACAAAGGCTTGAACGACCTCTTGCTTGACATCGATGAAACCTGCCGCCTTGATCAATTGTTGCATCTTCTCAGGTACAACTCTGGCACTGCGATCGAACTTATCCATACTGGAAAGGAAAAGCTCCGACCACCTCTGAAAAGATGAGGTTTCGGGCTGGCCATTACCTTGCCACCTTGGGGTCCAATCAATTTCTACATGTTCAATGTAGCCATGGTCTGGAGCCAGATGCCTTCTCACGTCTTAGCTATAGTCAAGCTTGTAGTTTCAGACTTACTCGAAGACATTTCTATAGATTTGTGGCCATAAATTCGTCTGTATGCTTCCGAGTAACATGCGCATATGGACCAAATCACAGTCCGTCAATAGCGAATCCCATTTTGGTTCTTCTATATCAAATTGTTTCAAAGTTACTCCTCTTGGAATTCTAGAGCAAGTCAATCCAGCATCCGCAATTAATATTTTCTGAGTCTTACAATGCGGGCTGAACCTGATTCAAGTCTATGGCCATGATTTGGGCATCGAACAAGTAGCTTTCTCATGAGTCAATTTCTATCGTCCGGGATTTTCATCCAATGAACGTACTCTTCAGCCAAACTAATGGGCCAAATACCTGTTCCTGTGCCAAGATCCATGATTTTGGGCGAATGTCGCGTGATAGGAGAACTAAAAGGCTGGTCTCGTGCCACGAGAAAACATTTATGAAATATGTCAAGTCGCTCTAGCTCCTTCTGGGTGGTATCAGTCAGGGTGTCATTGAACTTTTGATGATTAGTATAAACTTACTGAGTCGATAGGAAAAACGTATTTGCCGCGCTTCCATGAGCCATAGAAGCGACCATAGATCCAACAACCATTCTTGAGGTGCTTATCCTCGGATTCGGTATCACTAGAGGATAGGAACACAAACGATGAGTATGAAATGGGTGCCAGGAACGTGGGTGCAGGACGTACTTTGACATCACAAACCGCAAAAGACTCCCACGTCGTGATGAGATCCAGGGTGGCTTGAGTGTGGCAAACGTTTCAAATGAGGAGAATTTTGCATGCAAGACCGAAAGAGTGACCTTTGGTGGAGAATCGAGATCAGTGCAGGTTGGTGGCGTTGTCAATTGGGCGAGATGCACGTGCTATTGATTGCCAAACCGTGCTAGCGCCTATGATACAGTGCGGAGCCCATCATCACATCGATTGCGCTTATAGAGAAATCCAGAAAGGTCAGAAATTCGGGACGGAAAGTGCTAGAATGTTATCTGAACCTCCGTATCTGTATTCGGCTGAATCCTTTTACAGATCTCAGCTTTGTCTTGTTCTGAGTTGTTTCTGTCCCCTAAACTCAGGTGAAAGTTACGGTAAGGCCACGAATTAGTTAGTAGTTAGACTTACCTAAGGGTCGCGGATGAAGGTTATAGCGTTCCGAACGCCAACAAATCCCGCTTGTCCGATCAACGCAGTCAATCTTGAAAGATGTGCGGTTTTTATCTCAACATCCCATAGCCATGAGTTCACCGGACGAAGTACCCTACTTTTGCATGGCGGATACAAGGTGTCGTCTTTGCCAATTCGACTTGCAAGAAGACGACTTGGTCATCGCACGTCTGTTGGCCCGATCCTCGTATATTGGCAGAGGCTCACGTGAACACAGACATCAGGGGTCAACGATTTTCAATGGTGTTTAACCTCCGTATGGCCGACACTATACACGATAGTTTTGAATGGGTCAATTTGCACACCTGTGCTAACCYTCATTGCATGGCAGAGGGTCGCCGCGTACCTTTCTTCCACAACGACTGTTTTTGCTTCAGGCTCTACGACATTTCGGACGCGCTGGTCGCTGCTGGAAATTACACTTTCGACCCTCCTGCATACGAGAAGAACAGGCGTTCCCATCGTATCAAGCGTCTTCTAGCTCCAAAATTAAGGGATGAACTTCAAATCAGACTTCCGGCTGAGACATTAATGGCCATAGCTGGACTTCTCGTTCGTGAATGTGCCGCCATCACGGCAGAAGAACAGTCCCTAGGTACCAATGTCTCTGATGATATCGTCGACCTTACACAGAATGTGTACGTTAGCTACACTACCGTTGATGGCGTACGTTATGTGAAGAATCTTGGCAACACGGTGTCCAAGCTTTGCAACCAAGAACGCCCTGTGTTGCTCAGCAAGCAGGGAGAACTTGTCAGCAAGATATGGATCGCCGAAGATTATCGTGGGATCCGTTCTGTAAAATTTTGTTCCACAGATGCCTCATTAGCAGGACCTACACCAATCGCGAAATCATGGTGGAGAGCCATCCGTGTTCCGCGCGATGAAAAGATCACCACCAAATCTGACGTAAGTGCCGTCTGCGCGTGATAAGTTCCGTGTTAACGTCATGCTAGGGTCTCAAGCTGAGAGACATTCTTGCATGTGATAAGACGGTATCAAATGATACTAGAAATTATGTCGTTTGGGCGAAACCTGAGCATCCAAACGATGTCATCGATATTACAACGTTTGATCAAGTCAATAGCTTTCCTGAGAGGCTTCGGATGACGTTCTTTAATTGCAATGCCGAGGGTACAACCGGATACACGGCAGTGACTGGTGGAAGCTCTGTTGCAATGGTTCATGCTCACGAGAACGATAACATTGACTTTTATGCAGATATGGACTCTACTTGTCCGCGTGGCTTCTTCATATATATGCCACTTGACGATGGAGAATTTGTGACCGAGATATGTCGAAGATATGCAGTAGCAGCAGGAAATTGGATCTCAACCTGCCTTGTGGTAAGATATTCACCGTTTGCTCTCTACTATACGATTGTATTTGTGACTAACGTCACCATTGTAGTTCATTACGAACAAAGGTAGAAATGCCCTCTTTGGAACAAGCGGTCCACCAGAATCTTGCCTAGTGCTTGATAGGATTCTAACGCCTGCATTGAATGGAACGCAGATATGGTTTAACGATTCAACATCAGTGCACCCGAAGTCGCTCAGATATATTGCATTCGACCGACTTGCGCCGCCCGTTCAACGTCCTTTCCCCGCGTCACTTATACCGAACCCCCCTTACTTTTGGACTCAGAACAATGAGCCGTGGTTCGTATCATCGTGCAGCATGGAAGGAGTTGTGGATATGACTCTTTGTAGAGATACAGCATATGCTCATCGACCAATCACCGGAATTCTGCTAGAATATGAAAATGGTCACCGGGAATGTTTGGGCCAATTCCGGTTTGATAAGGTCCTCAAAAAAGTGCGAGTGGAGCATACCACGGACATGTATATTGGCAGCTTGAGGACCGCAGATT